GGTGAGGGCAGGGTGCCAGTGGGGGCAGGGGACGGTGCCTGGAGGGTAGGGGGCAGGGTTCTGCAGCTGGGGACAGGGTGCCAGTGGGGGCAGGGGACAGGGTGCCAGTGGGGGCAGGGGACAGGATGTCAGAGGGGGCAAGGAGTCCCCCATGCCCGCCTCCTCCCAGGACTCCTCTTCCCTCCCCCTCCTCCTCCTCCTCCCTCCGCAGAGGAGGGAAGCCATGGTGCGGACCTCCTCCAGGGACGATTCCCCCCTCTCCCCTGCAGAGGAGGGAAGCCCCAGTGCTAATCTTCTCCCGGGATGCCTACCTCCTTCCCCTCCTCTCCTGCCCCCTTCTCTCCCCCACCCCCCAGATTTGGAGGAGGGGAGCAGGCAGCGCAATTCCAGAAACCCTGGAAGTGGCGTGCAGCTGCCGGACTTCCGTCCACCCCGCAGGAAGCCAGCACTACCTCCATTGTTGCTGGAGGTAGGTAGTGGAGCTTCTTACGGTTGCGGGGTGGGGGGGCCCCGAACGCGATCGACAGATCGGTGACCACGGACTTAGACTGACAAAACATGTAGATGGTATCATGAGATTCTACATAGACAAAGAACCGTTGTTGCCTTCATTGTTTGGTAGGTTGATAGTGACCCAGCCATCCAGCATCCCAGTATCTTTATTCAGTCAATGGGTGTGAGAATGGAACTTGTGAATGAGTTGTAGTTCCAGTCCTTCCCTGTGTATTTGGCTTGTGGAATTGGTCTGTAACAAAACAGCTACTTGAAGATCTGTTAACATATGCCCAGGGAGATTAAAGTGTTCTCCAACAGTTTTTGTATGTTCCCTTTGCAGATATCTGATTTGTGCCCATTAATTCTTTCCCGTAAGGACTGTCCAGTTTGTCCAATATAAGTTTTAAGTTCCTCTATTCCAGTGCTCCCCAACCTTTCGGGCCGCAGGGCGTCTGGGGGTGGGGCCGCTCACGCGCTGCACGTCCGGGAGTGGGCCACGGCCGCACATGCGCATGTGCTGCGCGCCTGGGGCGGGGGCCGGCACCGTGCATGTGCTGCACGCAGATCATTCGGTGGGCACCACGTTGGGGACCATTGCTCTATTCTGTGGTGAACTTCTAGGAATCCAAGTACCATGTGGCACATGCTTCCAATAACTGACAATCTTTGAGTTTAAGTACTTTTTTAGAAGCTGTTGAATTCCCAAATTCAATAGAAGGGGGGAAGTGCGTGTACACACTCGTGATTATTACAATGCCTGAACACCATTTATGCACTCTGCTTTGATCTGTAGTGCTGCTCTTCTCTCTCCCATGTGCTTCTGAGCTCTCCAGTGATAGTTTAGAACACTGACTGAATTCGTGGGCCAGACCCACTTCCTCAGATCAAAGGAAGTGGGTCTGGCCCACGAAAGCTCATCACTGAATAAACCATCTTGTTAGTCTTTAAAGTGCTACATAGTCCTGTATTTTGCTTCAGCTACACCAGACTAACACGGCTACATTTCTATCTGAATTCTATGACTAATGCTTGCTGCTGAAGTTCCACTCTTTCACTGCAAAAGAAAACTAACTTTTCAGCTGCATTTTACTTCCTTGGGGGATGTCCTTACTTCCTTTCTTTGTTATGGTCATTGGTTTGTATACCCTATCTTTGCAGATCAGCAAGCTTCCAGGCAATAAATACATGTAATTAACTATATGATTATCTCTCCACTGCAGGTCGACAAGTGGCCCTGGAAGCTCTAGTAATGCCTCTGGCAGTAATCGTCGCCTTCAGCAAACCCAACACCAAGTAGATGAGGTATGGCTCTTATACAGAGCAGCTTTATCATCCCTTTGGCCTTGGGGAAACATAGCAGAGGGCAGATATATGGAAGTGTTGTGCAGGGGGAAAAAAATTTAAATTTGTCTGCTTTGATGTATGAACAAAAAGCTAGCATGTCTTCACTGTTTGTCCCTCTGGTGATCTGAACTATCATTTTGAGATGCATTGCAGGAAATCTGTGATGCTTTTCAGATGATGACCTGCTCCTGAAAAGAGGAATAACTTGAGCCAACATGTTAGCTGCATGCTAACTGTTTTGTGAGACTCTGATTTCTGACAGAAAATGATCTTTTTCCCATTTGGAAATCCACAATCGCCAGGAATTTCTAGTTGTGTATCAAACCATTCTTGGCTGAGTGTCTCATTTCTTTTAGTCGGGGGAGGGTGGCACACAACTTTCTTTTCAGACCTCAGCTTTTTTGTGTGTCAAAAGAAACACTGTATTGTTCAAATGCCAGATATGGCTTCCATAATAGTATTTCCTAAAGAAAAGTCATCTTGTCTAACATGCTAGATTAAGTTTCTGATATTGAAATCACAAGGCAGGTATTGGGAATCTCCAACTCAATTACTTAGTTTTAAAAAAAAAAAAAGTTGTGGAACTAAGAAGAGCCTAAGCTCAATTTTGGCTACCCTTAATCAAAAAGACTATCTTCTGCTTTATTTAAAAACAAACACTTGAACAACGTTTGTTATAAAAGGTATTTGTTGGGATCTGCTCCATGCTTAATGTTCAGGGGAAAGAATATTGAATGAACGAATAACTTACTATGACTATTAAATCACTGTAGGTGGTTGACATCATGAGGGTTAATGTGGACAAGGTGTTGGAACGAGATCAGAAGCTGTCAGAATTGGATGACCGTGCTGATGCACTGCAGGCAGGAGCTTCCCAGTTTGAGACAAGTGCTGCCAAGCTGAAAAGAAAATATTGGTGGAAGAACTGTAAGGTACCGTGACTCGAGTATTTCCAATACAGATTAAACTTACTAAGAACTAGAAGTAAATGCTACACAAAGGGGCAGTAATCAAAGTGACTTTAACCATGAAAACGTATGGCCAATTTCAACATCCTCTGTTCATGGTGAGTAGCATTTAAGAATGAAGCATCTGGTCCTTAATGAACATCTGTCTTAGTGAACTAGATGAACTGGACAAAAGTTAGATGGCCTGGCCATTTCCCTTTACACACAACATTCCCCAGGACACAGATGTGGCCAAGGATAAATGAGTGTATGTATTTAAGGTGTTGGAGATGTAGGAGGAAGAAATTCAGTGATATGGCTTTAATGACAACCTACAAATGCAGCATTACAAAAAAATTTTAGTCTCTTACAATCATGTCTGCTACTTACAGGAAGATGAATGGCTTTTACTAAATTTTGCGCTTTTTTTTAAAACAGATGTGGGCAATATTGATAGCAGTTGTTCTCATCATTATCATCATCATCATTGGTAAGTTTGGTTTTTTAGCTAATGCACTGGTTTGTCAATTGGACTAGCATACATGGGGCATAAGAATGTAAAAAAGTTAGTCACAGCCAGAGAGGATTGATGCTAGTACATAAGCCATAACATTCAAAAGTTAAGGTTCACTCTGTATGCTGACTTAGCCGGATTGGGCTATTACATCTGTCAAGCATGCAAAGTAATTTTTACGCTGCTAAATTGATGTTTGAACATAATCTATGAGTTCTGATGTTAGGGGGACCTTACCTGTTGAATTTTGGCTCTTAAGTGCGAAGCAAAAATGGGATTCCACAGGACACTGGGACTCCTGAGTCCCAGCTCTGCCAGTGACTCACTGAATATGACGGGATCACTTGACCACTTCTTTGCCTCCATTTCTCACTCATTAAAATAGAGATGTGGCATACTACGCTGGGGTTTCTGAAGAGTAACATGAATTTCTTTGAGAACCTTAGATGGCAGGAGCTGTGGAGATAAATACTGTGAGATGAGTTTGAGGAATTTTTAGGAATTTAAAAGTATTTAAGAATCCTTTAGACTCCAGTTCAAATCCTTAAGTCACTTTTTTTTTTTCTTGCAAAGCAGTCTGGCCTTCTGTTGGTTCATGCCCTTTTCTTAATCCCATAATGAGTACTCCAGCCAACCAGCTTCCCCTTACTGTCTGCCAGCCCAGAAGTAAGGTCAAGCAAAGTAGGGAAGCTTCATATGAGACCCTCTTCACTCCTCACTAGTGCTTAGGCCAGGCCTACACTAAAGGCAAAGGTTGAATTCAGATATGCAACTCCAGTTATGTTAACTAAGTAGCTGGAGTTGATGTACTTCAATTGTAGGGACAGCAAGGAAACTCAAATTGAAGGCTGATGGGATTGAACGCTTCTATTGGCTTCCCTTACTCCTTGCAGGAGTTCCACCACTGACAGGGGGGCTCCCTCTGACTTTGATTTAGCGGGTGCCCCTGACTTTGACTTTTGGGGCTGCCCCTGTGCCCTGGGGGCGGGGCACCGTGTTGGGGACCACTGCGCTAAATCGAACTCCAGGGTTGATCTTCCCGGTAGTGAAGATGTAGCCTTAAATATAGACCTGGCCTAACTACCTTGTTACTTTAAACTTAAACCGATATGAAAATGTGTCTCAGACCAGAGAAATACATGCCTTGGAATGACAGTCATACCAGCCTAAGTCCCCTGTGCAGACAGTAGTATGTCAACAGGAGAGCTTCTCCCTTAAGCATAGCTGGTATCTCGTGGAGGTGGATTAACTACCCTAACGGGAGAAGCTCTCTTCTATCAGTGTAGTATTGTCTTCACTGAAGCACTACAGCAGCCCAGTTGCACTAGTGTCACTGCAGGTCTGCACTTAAACTCAGTCCAGGCAAGAATCTTGATCTGCCTAGCCTCACTTGAGTACAGGAAACCCCACTGACTAGGCACTAGGTTTTCTGCTGGGGCAGAAGGCTGGGTGGGGAAGGTGGACAGGTAGTTTTCAAGGATTAATCAACAGTGAACAAGCTGTTTAAACATATGCGTATAGCAGAAGTTTTAAAAGGAAAGAAATTGTGCTCCCTTGTCTGATACCAATTATTATATGGGCTTGTGGCTATTATATCCATAACAGTACATCTGGCAAGATTCAGCAGTTGGACAAGTTAAATTTGGGTAAGAGCTATACATAGAACTGCAGGTGAAAATCTGTCTGGAGCTTGCACAAGTCTACAGTCTTCCTTGCTCTGGCCACAGTCAAGCTAGTGAACTGAACTAATTGCACTTCTTAGTGTTCAGCTGTTTGAATTAATGATGTTGTAGTTAAGCATTTCCTTGAGCTTTGACAACATATTAATTTCTCACCTTTGGGCCTGTTTGTGACACAATCTATAGCAACTACTTGTAATACTAACAACAGAATTGTGACCATAGGTGAAAGATACCCAGTACATGAATTCTAAAAGCAAATTGTGGGGAAAACACTCAGGAAATTACTTAAAAAAAAAAAAAAAAAAAAAAAGAAATTCTGACTTTGTTCAGTAGCTCAGATCTTTAGGGGTACATCTAGACTACAGGCTTTTGTCGACAGATACTGTTGACAGCCTCTGTTGACGGAGTGTCTACACTACAGCCAGTTCTGTTGACAAAGCAAGCCGCTTTTTCGACAGTCTAGATAGATGCTCTCTTTTGAAAAAACTGTGGATGCAATAGCGCGTTTTGTCAACAGAACTCTGACAAAAGGCATTATTCCCCACAGAATGAGGTTTACCGCTGTTGACAAAACTGCTGTGTTCTGTCGACTTACTGTCAACAGAACTCAGCGGTAGTGTAGACACAAGTATAGTTTTGTTGACAAGTCTACTTTTGTCGACAAAACCCTGTAGTCTAGAGACACCCTAAGTTACAGGGTTTGCTTTTTATGCCTCTTTGACATGGGGAGATGAGTGGGGGGAGAAGAACTGTCACCTTTTCCAATCCTCATTTTTCTGTTATAGTCTGGAGTGTGTCCTCATGAATTAGAAGAATGCAAACCAGCAGAATGAAAACCAGCGGAAGCCATCTTTCTCTCCTTCAAACCTGCTGTTATCAAGCTCACCTACTGATGTATAAAGCAAAATTATTTTGATTAGTCATGTGGTTAACTTTCTCTGGTTATCAGAAATGTGCCTTTGTTTAAAAGTTACGCTCCTACTTTTAAAATGCTAACAAGCACAGCCTCCAACTTGCACAGTGCCTTGGTAATCTTGAGTATGAGCTGGTGAAGAGGGTTTCAGAATTTAGAGGCAATACATTGTTACCAGTGACTACTGGGTTCTAGATGAATTTGAAGAGTGTTTGGGTATGTCGTCTTCACTATCTCCTCCCTGTCCCAGTTTGAAGATGCCTCTTCTGAAGTACACTGCTACAGCTGTGGGAACCAAAGCTTGAATTTGTGCCTTCTTCTACGAAACTCTAACATGTCTGCCATTTGTACAGACTTTGCCTGACTTGCCTTACTCCATTAATGCCTTCTAACTAGTTGTGAAGAGCCAGCCAGCCTTGCAAACACTACATGTTGTTCACTGTTTTATGCAGTAAAATTCTAATATTGAAGTTCTAAAGATTGAGCACTGAATGTTTAGTACTGCATTTATGGCATTTGTGATTAAACCTATCTTAACCATAAAATGTTTACATTCTCCAAAATAGTCTGCCACTTTTGATGTCACTTTTACCTGAAAGGGTTTTTTAAAAAATGTTTAGTGTTGTAATGTAGACTTACCAAAGTTGGTTGTGTGTGGATGGGTGTGGGTTACTTTTTGGCAAAAGACCAAAAAAAAAAAAAAACAATTCAGGGAAGGCTTTTCTCTGCAAGCCAGCAGGAAGTTTCCAGGGTAGAATCAGTGCCAAATATAGTTTAAATCAGTGGTCCCCAACCATTTGGGGTTGCCGGGGGGCGTGGCCGTTCGCCCGCCGGGCACCCGGGGGGGCGGGGCCCCCCATAGCCGCATTCCAGGGGCCGCAGCTCTCCCCTTGCGTGCCCGGGGCCGGCGCTAGCGCTCTCTTTTCCCCCCCCCCACCCCCAAGCACCGCGCGCCTGGGGCCAGGCCAGACCTGAGCACTTGGCGGGCGCTGCCAAAGGCCCCCGCGGGCACCGTGTTGGGGACCACAGGTTTAAATTTTTATAAACCTGTGTAATCTGTTTGCATTACTTCAGAGTCGAGTCTAGAGGGAAGACAGTCTTGAGTGTGAGTATTCCTTTAGGAAAGGCTGGCAAAAGGGAAGAGGCAATAGCATTTATCTCCAACTGTTTAAGTGTGGGTGACTAAACTGGCATCCCATAGTTTTCCATCAGAAGGGAAAGAAAGAACTTGGTCCTTGTCAGCCGACGGTCATTAAGAAGTCATTACTGTGTGAACCCTTTAACCTTCTGTTCTTGTTTCTGTTTCCTCATCTCCCCCTCTTACTTTCTGGGGTACAGTTGGAAGTAGCTTCATTGTGAATTTGACTCATGAATTTAATTTTTGCAACCTGCTTGGCTTGTGTGTTGCTTTGGGTGTTGTGTGACACCGAAAAGCCCCACTCTTGATTAAATAACTACCACAAATGTGTGGTAGAGCACTCATAGAGTTTCTGAAGTGATCTGTTCCATAATTAGCTGGGGCAAGTATTTACACTCCTCCCTTTCTCCCCTTCCTGCCCCCCCCCCCCTTCCAAGCACGCTGTGTTGACGGTGTCTTTTTGATATTGAGTATTATGGAAACTAATTTTTGGCTTACAATAAACTGCCTCCTGTGAGGAGGAAGAGGGAGGGAAATGCAGGCTGTTGTGCTTCCTGCAGTATCCTAGTTTGTTCCACTGCCAGCGCTGCACTGGGTGCTTTAGATGTACGAAGCAGGGGGAAAGAGCTGTCCTAGGTAAGTGCACCGGGGCCAGTAACAGCGCTTCATGTAATGCAGGCCCTGCGCTACACCTCTGTGTCCGTTCAATAAAGTGGCTTCAACCCTGCCTCGTGGTCCTGCTGGGGGTGGGGGGCGCTGACCCACAGCTGAGTCACCAGCTTGTGCCTGGCGGGTTCGGGTTGATGTTCCAGCCGCTCGGGGGCAGGGCTGCATGATGCGCTGCCTCGCAGCCCAATGAGACTCCGCCCCTGTGGGGTCGCCAAGGCTGGGGTCCCTGGCAGGGGGCGGGGCGAGCTGCATGGCTGCACGCTGAGGGGAAGGCTGAGGAGCGACCTGCGCTGGGGCTGGAGCGGGGGCGAGGGACTTGACACCCCCACACTACACGCCCCCCCCGGGAAGGGGTCAAGGAAAGGTGAGTGTAATGCACACCCCCACCAGTGAACCCTGGGCTGTGGGGAGGGGGAGTTCAAGGAAAGGCGAGTGTAATGCACACCCCCACCAGTGGCCCCTGGGCTGTGGGGAGGGGGGTTCAAGGAAAGGTAAGTAATGCACACCCCCACCAGTGACCCCTGGGCTGCGGGCGGGTGGGGGGTTCAAGGAAAGGTAAGTAATGCACACCCCCACCAGTGGCCCCTGGGCTGCGGGCAGGGGGGGCAGGGAAGGGGAGGTTCAAGGAAAGGTGAGTGTAATGCACCCCCCCCACCAGTGGCCCCTGGGCTGCGGGTGGGGGATGGCAGGAAATGGGGTGTTCAAGGAAAGGGGGGGGGCAGGAAAGGAGGGGTTCAGGGAAAGGTGAGTAAAAAATGCCCCCACCAGGGGCCCCTGGGCTGCAGGGAGAGCAGGGTGTGGGTAGATATCCTAAGAGTTCAGTCAATACTGGTTTGTTCTGGTTCAGGACTCGAACAGAAAAAGCCGAACACCATTTGGTTCAGTTTGAAGTGAAAATGGCCTACTGGCCAGGGTGGGCAGGGGATCGCTGGATGATTCTGTTCTGTTCAATCATAGAACTGGAAGAACCTCGAGAGGTCATCAACTCCAGTCCCTTGCGCTCAGGGCAGGACCCAACATCATCTAGTGATCCATCCCTGACAGGTGTTTGTGTAACCCACCGTTAAAAAGCTCCATTGATGGAGACTCCCCACCTCCAAAGGCAACTTATTCCAGTGATGAACCACACTGACCTCCCTTATTGAAATTTAAGCACAACTAGATATAGCATTCCACCAGCGGTAGCTCCGGAGCTTAACCTCTTGCTTTTATCTGAGACCCCTCTTTATGTATCACAGGATTTCATTAGCTCTTCTGGCTACAGCATCACATTGAGAGCTCATGTTAGTTGTTGAGCCACCAAAATCCCCAGGCTTGAGTCTCCCATACTATAAGTATGGCCTAGATTCTTTGTTCCTAATGGCATATATTTACAGTTAGCCATATTCAAATATGTATTGTTTGCCTGTGCCCAGTTTACCAAAGCCTTGGCTAGGATGAATTAGTTGGGGTTGGTCTTGCCTTGGGCAGGGGTTGGACTCAATGACCTCCTGAGGTTTCTTCCAACCCTGGGATTCTATGGTTCTCTGATCTGTGTCTTCGTTATTTATCACTCTTCTAATGCTTGTGTGGTCTATAAACTTTATCAGAGATTTTGTTTGTTTTCCAGGTCACTGGAAAAAAATGTTAAATAGACATAAGAATCAAGCCCCATGTGACCCTGCTGGAAGCACCCATTTAATGCTTATTCCCTGCTTATAATTACCTCTATAATTGAAGTCTCTCTAAGCCAGTTTTTAATCCATTTAATATGCGCTGTTAATGTTTTATCAACATTTCATGCAGTGCCAAGTCAAATACCATACAAGAATCAAAGGCTATGTCGTCAAAACTATTACCTTTATGAAGCAAACTTGATAAAAAAAATTAGTTTGATAACGATATATTTACCGTAAATCCATGTAATGAATTCAAATCAACATTACCCTCCTTTAGTTCTTAATTGAGGCCTGTATCAATTATCAAGCTAAGTCAGGCTGACAGGTCTACAATTATCCAGGTCATCCTGATCACCATTTATAAAAATTGGCACATTAGTTTTCTTCTTGAACTTCATCAGTGTTTCATGACTTTAGCAGTAGCAATCCAGTGAGCTCATTAGCAATTGTTTTGAAACTCTTTGATGCAAATTATCTGGACCTGTTGATTTTAAAATGTCTTTAGGTAGCTTCTGTTTAACATCAAACAGCATGTTACCACCATGTGATGAAATTGCATAATCTATTTTCCCCCAATTCAAAACAGAAATGTATGCATGTTTATAATTGACAATTCTGCATACCCATCCAATAATAGAACGGTGCCATTATCAAAATTCTTTTTGTTCCTAATACATTTAGAAATATCCTTGTTGTCCTCAACTTTGCAGGCCATAGATTTCTCCTTGTGCCTCTTCGCTTGCCTTAAACAGACTAGATGAAACTGGATTTTGATCCATGACGGTATCTCCTGTGCTGTGTAAATATTGAGAGTGAATGCCAATGCACATTGAAGAGTGTAGAGAGCAAGGATCAGAGCTGAAAGCTTGGCATGTGTTCCTCCTCCCCCCGGGGCTGGACCTGTAAGTGCCTGGAAGCTCCTTCACTTCCCTCACCTGCAGGCTCAGCCCCTGCAGCTCCCATTGGCGAGGAATCCAGGACAAAGGGAGCTGTGGGGGTGGTGCCTGTGGGCACCACACAGAACACCTGCCTCTACCTCTCCCTCCCCTGCTCCCTGGCCTGCGCCACCAAAGGGTGCTGTCTCAGGTAAGTGTCCCGCCCTCCAACCCTCTGCCCCAGTCCTGAGCCCCTCCCTACTCCCTAACTCTCTCCCAGACTCTTCATTCCCAACCCCACCTCCTGCCCACACTCCAAATCCCTGAGGCCCAGCCTGGAGCCCTCTTCTGTATCCCAAACATCTCAGCCCCACCCCAAAGCTGTCAACCCCCTCTCACATGCAGCCTCCCCCCATCAACCCACAGCCCCCTCCTGCACACTGAACATCTCACTTTTGCCCCACCTTGGGGGCAAGGGAGCCCTCAAAAATCTAATAGCCCCAAGTGCCCCTTCTAGTCTAGCCCTGCGGCCAGGGAATGCCTAAAGTCCCCTTCAGACTCACAGCCTTCCTTCTCATCTTCCTCTGATTAAACCTGCCTTTCCTCAAGCACCAACCAGCATTCAGTGTTAAATAAAAACTATTCCTTAGTCAATGTTACTACTTCTCTGTTTTAATTACTAGTATTATAATAGTATTGCTTTCTGCTATTTTTCATTGCAAATATACCACATTTCAGCTTACGTTATGGATTAAATACACTTTTATGGGTTAGCCTGACAACCTAACCACCATTTATATTATAACATTATTTCTATTGGAAACTGCTTCAAGTTCCAAACAGACTTGCAAATGAACTTCTGGAACACAACCCATTCGTAAATTGGAGTTGAACTTGTAGGATAATGTACATAGATTTAAATGCTTCGGTTTAGGAAAACCTTGGCTATACTTTATAAATGTCCCATATTAACATTATTTTTAGGTATTTCCCAAATATGGAGTGGGGATTTACTTTATAACTAGATGGCCTAAAAAATTTACTGTAAAATATGTAATTTGTTTATACACAAGGGGGCTACGTCTAGACTGGCCCCTTCTCCGGAAGAGGCATGCAAAGTAGGCAAGTCAGAATAGGGAAATCCGCGGGAGATTTAAATATCCCCTGCGGCATTTAAATAAACATGGCCGCCGCTTTTTTCCAGCTTGGGAAAAGCA